TTTAACTGAAATTCTTCATAAGGCATGGCAATAAATTGTATATTCAATGAAAAAATAGCAAAATGCGCAAAAATGAAAAGAAACATTTAAAAATTTGACTAAAACAAAACATTGGCACCCATGTAAATTTGACATGCTTTGAGGATTTTCATGCTAGGATCATATCAGAAGGACTGTTTTAATATTTTCCAGTGTGTGATGATGGTACCGACAATGACGAGCTCCCAGAAGTCCCGTCTGGGCCTCGGCCTCAGCGACTTTCTGAACTCACCATCAAAGAAAAGATTCCACCCATCCCCGAAGGCAGCGCCTTCTTCATTTTCAGCAGCACAAATCCGTGAGCCTCGTATATCAGACATATCAACACATAGGAGCATTAACCAGTGTAACTGCTCAGTGTGACAGATGTATTTGTAGACACTAAAAGAGTTCAAGCAGTCCCTCTCTTTACTGCTTTCTACTCTCTTTTTGTAGGTTTCGTGTATTCTGCCATAAGCTGATCAACCATCAGATCTTCACCAACCTCATCCTGGTCTTCATCATGCTCAGCTCTGTCTCACTGGCTGCCGAAGACCCCATCCGCAACTTCTCTGCTCGCAATATCGTATGTAAACAACCAATGAGTCTGGAAACTGTTTCACTTTTTTACACGTCACAGTCGGAGTTCAGCTGTAATTTTGTAAATTATGTATTACCACATTTCATTTACTACGTTCCATTTTAATCTCCTGGTGTTGAAAATGTGCATTAAACACCCATCATTAAAGTTATAAGTAAAACGCATATTTTAACAAATCTAAAATTTTCCTTAAAAAATAACAAGTGACATATGAAATGACTGATTTGGCAATAACAGATTTTACAACTACTGCTATTTATTATTATGTTATTATGTTATTTAACCTTGTCTGTTTCTCACACAATTCATAAGATATTCTTAAAAGATAATTCAAAATGTCTTAAATTTGAGGAATTTTTGGCTCTGAAATTAAATGCAGTTGGGTAAAAAAATAAAGTTTTTAGAGGACTCTTGTTTACCTGAAAAACTAAGTACAGCCTTACTGCTTACATAGGAATTAAGAGGGTAAGTAGCAGCAAGATGCTGCTAATCAAATGCACTTGATTAACTGTACATTAGCAAGTGTGAGCGCCTCTATAAAAGCAGAAGTTTTCTGGTCTGAAGCAATCAAATGTGTCTAAACACAATCCCATAGTCTTGCCAGGGGTGAACGTTTCAGCAGATTCTCCCTAAATTCAAACTGAGCATGCTCAGAGAAACTACACAAAATCTCTACAGGCCTCAGGTAGCATGTTAAATGTTAAAGTTCATGACAGCACAATTAGAAAAAGACTGAACAGGTACGGCTTATTTGGAAAGGTTACCAGGAGAAAACTTTTCTGAAAAGAACCTGGCAACACAGCTTTGGTTTGCAAAGCTCCATCTGAACAAACCACAAGATTTCTGGAACACTCTATTCTAGAGTCAAATGTGACATATGTCAGCTAAAGCTTTGTCGAGACTGGGTCATGCAGCAGGACAGCGATCCAAGCACAGCAGCAGATCTATAACAGAATGCCTGCAAAAGAAGCGAATCAAAGTGCCGTGATGACCCAAAGTCCAGGCCTCATTTTAATTTAAATGTTGTGCCGGGACCTTAAGACAGCTGTGCATAAAACCTCAAGAAACTGGAGCAGTGATGTAGTGATGTAGAGCAGAACAAAATTATTCCTCATGGTGATGTGACAGACTGATAATCCAGTCATACAGGAAGCAGTTACTTCAAGTTATTGCAGTAAAGGTGGTTCAACAAGTCACTGAATGAAAGTGTGTACTTAGTTTTTCAGAGGTCTGCATGGAGTCCCATCAAAAATTTATTTTCCACATGGTTGTATCATCGTGTTAAACTGCCCACGAGCTGTGATTACATACATTTTCAGTGCAGACTTTAGAAGCAGATAGTTCAGCAGGCTCCCCTTTGTGTCTGCAGCTACAGCATGTCACTGTAAGGAGTTTTAAATAGTCTGTTTGTGTTCATTCTGTACCAGTGCTGATTGCACTGGCACAACATGGCTTCTTCCAACACTAAAAAGAGACAATGGCCCAGCTTTGTTTGCATTCAGAATTTCAGAGAAGGAACATCACCGTTTCTTAACAAACAAGAATTTATTTGAGACTACGCACTAACGAGTGATTGGTCAGTTAAAGTATAACCTACTTAGTGCTTGGCTACACTAGTATCTGTTTCGTCTGTGTTTAAACTTTGCAGTATTTACAGCTAAAAGTATTTAATAAATCTCTCACTGTGCTGTTGTCTTGGAATGACTTGAACTTGTGCATTGCCTTTTTCAGATACTTGGTTATTTTGACTATGCTTTCACCGCAATCTTTACTGTTGAGATCCTGTTGAAGGTAAATGTCCTTTGCGTGCTGTGTTGTGCTGTGCTGAGTAGAGCTGTAGTAACCCTGCGCGCTTATGTCACTCTGATTGCTTCCTCAGATCCTAGGCTATGCAGACTATGTCTTCACTAGTATGTTTACATTTGAGATCTTTATTAAGGTAAACAATTCAAACCGTTGCGTTTGCTCAGCAACAACCCACCACTTCCAAGCTTGCTGCACACATTCTTCCTCTCGTCATTTTTGTCTCTAAAGTCTGGTCAGAATGGCCGCCTGCTTGTTTTGTTCTCACAGCGCCGACATGTCAACGTGGAGCTCGTGCCTTTTCGTCAGAAATTTTTTTTGTCTGTCAGTCACTTTTCCATCACGGCCTACTTCCCTCTTTTAACCCTCGACAAGTTCATGGACCTTTGGCTCTCCAGAATACGACCGCTTGTTTGGCTTTTCCCTAAAATTATGTTTTTACCATTTTTTTCTTTTTCGATTTTCCAAAAGATGACAAAAATGTATACTTTATTCACAGTTTTACAAAGGGATTGTTTTTTAAAGGAAATCAGCAGATTTAAAAAAAGCAGTAAACATTAGAGTCCCGTGTTTTAAACAATTCATATTGTTTTATGTTTAATTACAATAACTAACAAAAATCCACCCAACGGGCAGTTTTTGCCAAGCCTGCAGCACTTTTTCGCTTTGCTCACTTATGGGACAGACCTTATGTTATTTTATTTTGTTTTTCTGAATATCTTCGTTATACCACTGTACATAGTGAAATGACAAAAACTTGAGAATGATGTATGTATGCATGTAACTAATACATATAACTATACATGTAATACATGTAAGTAATACATATAC